CCCAGAGCACTTCTGAGGCACCAAACTCTATCTTCTTCCATTCTCCTTCTTTGCCTTGCCCCTCATCCCCCTGGAAGGCCCTGCAGGCCAAGGACAGGACCAGCACAGCAGAGGACTAGGCTGAGCCTCATCAGAGCAGGCAACCCACACTGAAAGTGCTTAGCAATCAATTGCTGGGGACTTTGTCAAAACCCTGATTTGGGGGGAGGCTTGGGACACTGCATTCCTGAGAGGCTTACTCAATGCTGCAGGTCTACATACTTTGTGTTAAGGAGCAAGAATTATCAAGAATTTTCAATATTGCTGCACATTAGGATCACCTGGGGCATTTGAAGATGAGCAACTCACCTCCAGACACCAGTCTCTTTAAGTTAGACCCTGGGCTTTAATCTTTTTTTATTTTGCACCAATCAGATTGTAAGTAATTTACCAGTCATCCAAATGAGGGAAGCTTAGAAATCTTGACTGACTTGCTTAAGGCCACTGCTAAACTGAACCCAGACTGTTCCCCCTGCTCTCCTGTGATGCCAGCAGTCTCCCCACTCCAGCCCGTCCTTGGCAGGGGGCAGCGAACCTATGCGCTGAATTTGGGGAACAGGTAGGATTTGTGTTTTCTCTGTATGCCTGCCTGATGTCTTACTACCAGTGCTTCCTTACTTGGGCCAAAGCTGTGTGCACCTCTGTAATGTGTCCCGTTTGGTACACAGTCTTTAGCTGCGGGGCATTGGGAGGCTGAGCAGATGCTGACTGGCACTGGGCTGATCTATGGGATCTGGGAGCAGGACGAGATGGGGCAGGGGAGGCTCTAGACACCAACTTGCCTCCTCTTGCAGCTAGGTGAGGTTGCCCAGAAAAGAGAGGGGCACTTCCATTCCAGATAAGGCTCTGCCCTGGCAGTGGAGGTCAAGAGGCCACAGACAGAGGTCAGGAGGGATGCAGGCAGGGCAACTCTGGGCCCATGCCCTTCCCCTGTGGTACAGAATTGTGACATGTGGTACTTTCCCCATGGCAGGTGCAGCTGTGGCCAGGCCCAGACTGGCAACAGCTGTGCTCCACTGCTTGTCTCAACACCAATGGCCTGTAGCTCAGCAGCTTGGGAAGCAAGTGGGGCTGGGTCTTAGCTAGGAGGCTGAGGCAGGAGGATTGTATATTTGAGGCCTGCATGGGCTACATAGTGAGTTCAAGGCTGTCCTGGTGTACCTAGTAAGACCCTGTCTCAAAAAACAATTTAAAAAAAATGAAAGTAAGGATGGTGGGCAGTTATTTGCATACTCAATATCTTCCCTATTCTATACTATCAGAATCCTAATTTTGTTTAAGGCTGCAGCAGTGCCCAGGCAAAACCTCACCAACCCTGAAGCCCAGGGGCTAGAAATAGCCACGTGACCCAGTCTGACCAATGAGGTGCAAGCAAAAGTCTTTGGGTGTGACTCCTTGGAAAGCCTTTAAAAGGCAGCTGAATTTCTCCCCTCCCTGCCCTGACTTCGGATTGTGGGACAGGGTATGTGGGGCTGTGGGCGCCATCTTGAGATAATAAGGCTGAAAGCTGTCAGATGTGGATAAAAGACATGTGCCAGGGATGGTGAAACAAGGAGCAGCCTGAGTGCTGTGTGACTTCCAAGAAGTTTCGCCAGCCAATACTGATACCTGCAACTTCTTGGTATGTAAGAAACCCAAACCTCTACGTGGGTAAGCTACCACAGCTGGGTTTCTTTTACAGTGGAATGCAATCCTCGGTAAAAATGTTTCTAGATTGGAAATGGGAAGGAAAAGTCAAGGCAAGAACAGTCTCCAGAAGTTAGAGAGGAAAGAGTTAGGGAGGTCTTTTTGGTCATTATCCCACTCTACAATCTTCAGTGATTACTGATTTCCCAAGGGATTAAGTTCATCTTCCCCAGACCAACATTCAAAGCTCTATAAAACTAGGCCCCAAATCAGTTTTCCAGGCCTCTTACCATTACATCACTCCCTGGAGCAAAGACGACCCTTCTCTTCTGAGTGCAGACTATGTTCTCGCCCCATCTTTGTGCACGTCATTCCTCCTCATTTGCACCTGTTTGAGGCTCAGAAATCCTTGCAGGCTGCTTTTCTAAGAAATCCTCCCCTGCAGGGCATCTCCTCCCGTGACCTTCTTCACAGCTGAGGTCCATATGCTGACAGTTCGTTTACACCTTCCTGTGTGTTAAGATTGTGAGATCCTCCCAGGCAAGGTCTTGGGAGCATGGAAAGCACATGTGCTCTGGAGTCAGACTCTGAACCTCAGGCCCCTCCTCTGTGAAGGGATAATAGATGTTCCGATCCCCAGGGTTTGGGCACAACGGGCTCCAGAAGCATGAGCGAAGTGCTCAAGAGGTTGAAGTGTTGCCTGGTTGGCCATCATTGCTGGGCCTTTTCTTATCCTTGCAGCTCCTTCCCTTCTGATTTTCTGCTTTGCATGTCAACCAGGAGACTTGTACTATTTAGGGAGTGACCCAGATTGTTCTCATTTTCCTAGAAGGTTGTTCTCAGACTCTTGGCTTCAGCCTTGAAGCATAGTAGGAGGGGAGAGGGGAGAGCTCATGTCCATGGCTAAGGGTATGAGATGCCTTGCTAACTACTCAAGGGAGTTAACTAAATCCACTTTTACCTGGCAACAACGATATTGACTAAATGACCTTATAGCTCTTGGTTTTTCTGTTTTGTTTTACACATTCCTACATCTGTCTGCAATAACCAGGTCAACAGGTGGTCCCTAAACATTGTGCTATCCTGTTGATCTTTCTCTCTCACCTCAGTCCGCTGCCAAAATTGAATTGAATAAAATGATTTTGAGAAATAACCCAGGGCAAAAAATTCTTGAAAGTTTAATGAGAAGTGACAGTTTTACCACATCTGAGTTAAGCACCCCTCACACAAGCTTTAAATGGGGGTGGATGCATTGCATTGGATGGAAAATAAGAACTCACCTCGGACTTAAATGGCATGCTAATGTGAGCTGGCAGTGAAGTCCCAAGGCATCCTCCCTTGTTTTACAAGCTTTCACTGAGAATACAACCTGACGGAAACATACCCTTTCATCCCTCTTAGGACAGAGCCTAGGCTGGGAGATTGGAGGAGCTGATACACAGCGGGTGGAGAGCACGCTGGCCTGGCCACATTCAGTACCCTGTGTTATCACCCCGTGGAGCCTCCTGTGCCCCGGCCAGAAGCCATCTGGGCCAGGCTGGTGGTACCAGAGCTGAGGACAGTCTGTGGGGTGGGGTTGGAGAAGGAGTTGGGAGCTGGTAGCAGGGACTTGAACTCTTTTGTTGCCTGTACTCCGAAGAGAACTCCATGTTTTGCCTCTTCCTGAGCCCTTTAGTGTTCACTGTCTGTTTCTTTGGTTGTTGCATGTGTGTACTTGGAGATTGTGAACATATCTGTTATGGACAACCATTTATTGCTTTGTGCCTGTGTTTGTAAGTCTGCATACTTGTTTCTGGGTTAGCTTTTTTGCATTTTTGCATGCTTGGGCTAGTAGGTGGGCATGGGGAGAGCTGTGTGTGTGTAAGGGTTAGGGTGTGTGTGTGGTGTGTGTGTATTTTCCTCCTCTGACTTTCCCAGTAGAGTAGCATTGATGACTTTCTCTGGGTCCAGTTAGGTGCTTAATTCTTGTGTTTTATGCTCCTCAGGGTTTTTGCCACCTGTTTTACCCAGGGATGCGCTGCTGCTTCCTGGCAGAGCCACCCCTTCCCACCAGATTGTAAGATGCCTATTTGAGCTTCCTGAGGCACCAGCAGCTCTTCCTTTTGGCAGAACTGGGGACTGAACCCAGGAACTCACTGAGCTACATCTCCAACCTTTGATTTTTTTTTGGAGACAAGGTCTCCCTAAATTACTAAGTTGCCCAGGTTGGGCTTCCAAGTGTGCTGGGATTATAGGCATGCACTCACACACCTGGCTTGTATCTCTCCTTTTAAACCAGACATTGACTGAAGGCAGGCACCAGGGAGCATGGCCAGCTGCGTACTGCTCTGCTTGGGCCAGTGGTCAGCAGACCTGGCCAGTGGCCTGGTGAAGACCTTCTGACGTGTAGCTGGAAGGAGCTAGGGAGTCTTGGTTCCTGTATGAGTTTCCTGTTGCTGCTGTAACAAATTATTATGAATGTGGCAGCTTAAAACAACACATTTGGGCCGGGGATTTAGCTCAGTGGTTTTGCCTCCTGCTGTGCAAGCGCAAGGACCCGAGTTCGATCCCCAGTACCGGAAAAAAACAAAAAAACCCCAACCCCCCCCACCCACATTTATTCTCTTACAGATCTAGAGGTCGGAAGCCTAAAATGGGTTGACAGGGCTGGTTCCTTCTGGAGGCTCTGGAGAGGATCCAGACTCTTGCCTTTTCCAGCCTCATAAACTACGAATTCCTTGACTCGTGGCCCTGCATCACTCTGACCTCTGCTTCCGTGGCTACTCCCTGCTTCACCATCCTGCCCACCCCCTTTATAAGTACTTGTCATTATACTCGGCCACCTGGGTAATCCAGGATCGTCTTCCCATCTGAATGTGTTTAATCGCATCTTAAAGTTCCTGTTGCCATGTAAGGGAACATATTCCTGATTCTGGGCGTGGGGACATGGACATCTTTGGTGGGAGGAGCTATCTTCCATGCTGCTACAAATTCCTCACACCTCAGAGAAAATCTATGAATGTGCATAGATGTAGTAGAACCCAAGCCAGATTGGTCATGGAGTGATTCTATAATTCTGAAAAGGCTTGCTGAACCTTTTCTCCCTATGGATACCTCCTGAAATCCTCCTGCCAGGATAAAGCACAGTCATCCACAGTAACAAGGCAGGCGTGGTACAAGGGACCTCGACGTATTCCCTCACATTCTGGGGTTCATGGCTGATGGCAGAGCTTTGCTGAAGAGGAGGCTTTAATCGGAGGGAGGCACCATGTGAGGTAAGGAGGAGCCAGGGAGGCTGGATCAGTCCTAATGACACTCCAGCATGGGGTTCCCAGTGATGGAGAAAGCAAAGGCACTTGGAAGTAGGACCATAAAGCTTTAATCAAACCCAGCAAAATGGCCACAATGCAGAACAGGTAGTGCCTGGAGAAGAGGAAGAAGACCATCTCCTTGGTGACATAGATTACGTGTACAAAGATGAAGCAGAACAGGAACATGGCAAACTGGTTCTGGGGCAGCAAGAGGTCCTGGAGGCCACCTGAGAACTGTGGGGGAAAGAAGACAGTGGAGCTGGCAACACCAGGGCTGGAGTCAGAGAGATCTGCATTCAGTCCTGCTCGGTCCCTTCCTGAATGAGACCTTGGGCAGGTTATTGTCCTCACCTAAGGAAAAAAGTAATAGTGCTCCCTTCACAAGATCATGAGGAAGAAGAGGGAGAAATACATGAAGAAATTTCTAGTAAGATCACTAGGACACAGAGGAAACTCATTGCTTTCTAGACCTTTACCTGCATCATCCCTCTAGCAGGGCACCATTTTCTTAAAAAAAACAACAAATTGACCAGTCAAGAGGAGAAATGCTATAGGTAATTAATATCTTAATTCTGGGAAACCACTTGACAACGTATCTCAGGATAGTGTTTTGACCAAGCTGCAGAAATGTGAGCTACATAAAAGGTAACTCTGGAACGTTGATTAATGGAACATTGCTAACCTGTAGTGTGATCTTTCAGTGGCAGTTACTTTGGGTCATATCCTTCTCAACAATTCTGGCAATGGCTTGGATAAAGATGGACGGCAAACTTCTCAGAACTGAGGATGACTCAGAGCTGGGAAGCAGAGCTAATATATTACATCCAATAAAATTAAAAACTGATGAATGTAACTTGCTGCATTTGGGTCAAGAAGTGAATTGCACTGAGTACATAAAAATGGGAATAGCTAACATTTATTGAGTGCTTACCTAATGTACTGGGCTTGCTGCAAAGAGCTTTATATGCATTCTCTCATGTGACCTCACAGTGACTGTATGAGGTAGGTATGAGCAAACCAGGACTCAGAGGTCAGTAACTGGCCCAAGGTTAAGCCAGAGTAGAGCTAGGATGTTAACTCAAAACTGTCCAAATTTAAAGCCTAGGAAACAGTCCTTTCAACCGTCATATCTTTCATGATTGTTTGATGGCCTACCCGCGGGGATGAGCATTCCACATCCCATTCCGCCTCAAGTAGGCATTCGTTTGTTTGAGACAGGGTCTCATTGTGTAGTTCAGGCTGGCCTTGAACTCTGTGTAGCCCAGGCTGGTCTCAAACAGTGATCCTCCTGGGTGCTGGGATTGCAGGTGTGCGTCATCACACCCAACTTTCAAGTGGGTGTTGTTATCCCTGTTTAGTATGCATGGGGGTTGAGGGTACGCTTCTTGTGAAAAGACAGCTGTTTGTGTCCACTACCAAGCAGTGTGGTCCAACAGAGCAAAGGCAGCTCTGGTCAGGGAGGCGATGGTTGTAGCACCCACTGACCAGGTTGCAGGGGTAGACTCAGGACGACTCCTGTGAGACACACAGAGGGTTTGAGAATGGTGGAGACTCCCCCTAAGCTATTGGAAAGGTGAGTGGATCCTGACCTCTGGCCTAGACAGGCGGACCTCGGCTTGACTTGGGAGCTCTAGGAAGGTGGGGCCGTGCCTCACCCACCTGGCGGGACGCCCTCTGCTGCTGCAGCTGCGCCATCACAGCCTCGTGCTGCCGCTGCCGCTCGTTCTCCTCGTGCAGGTGCTTGAGCCGCACCAGCTCAAAGTCCATGCGCATCCTCTCCAGCTCCACTGACTCTATGGGTTCCGTCCCTGAGGTTGGGGGCAGTTCGGTGGGCTCAGGTGCATCTCCTGCCTGGCCCGTGGTGGTGGGGCCGGACTTGGGGAGTCGCGGGCAGCCTCTGTCCTCGCCGGTGTCCATCTCCTCCAGGTAGTTGTAGGATGAGTCCGGTTTCGGGGACTCTACCTCCTGGGGCACGTGGAGGGGAGTCAGTATGGGGCAGCCCTGACCCCACTGCTCCCCAGAGCTCCCAGGCACAGTGGACTGGGGTGTTGGAAAATGTCCTGGACTGTGAAGATCCAGCCCTGGGGTCTTGCTGGAAGTGCACTTGGCCAAGTTACCAGCCTCCTGGGCTAGAGGAGAATGCCAGCTACCACAAAAGGGTGCATCTACAGTCACAAGCTGGGGATTGAGGTAGAAGGAGAGATCTGTCTTTCTGTCGATTTTCAAATCACATTCTTAAGGCCCCACTCTAGCTAACTGTAAGATACAGAGGCAATGGAGAGAAGAAGAAATCTAGGGTCTGTGTTGGAAGAACCTAAACATGTAGGAACCAACAAAAAGGGTATCAGAGGGGATTCCTATCCATGGGGGAGGAAAGGGCCTCAGATGGTGGGGCAGGGTAGTGAGTGAGGCCAAAGCCAGCTTCAAGTAATCTTACATGCATGTGCAAGGCCCCTGGCCCCTGGTGACAGCTGGGTGTTAGTTTAGGGAACGGGGTGCTGGTCCTGCTCTCCTTGGCATCTCTCTGAGTCTCATAGCACTCAGCTCCTACCACACATCCCTGGTGCTCTTTGTTGCCCTGGGGAAAGGCTGGGGGCAGTGATGGGGCTGCCTCTTACCAACAAGGCCCTCGGCTTCCCTTCACATGTGGAGTCAGCAGGCACCAGCTTGGAGGTGGGACAACTTTCTCCTGCTTCCCGGGCTTCCATCACCTCCCTGTCCTCTGTTGCCATCCAGGAATCCACAGTGTGGCCAACCTGGGCCAGAGGCCATCTTTTGAGGCAGTAATGTTTGACTTCATCAGATTTCACAGCCTGTCTGCTGTCACAATGCCCTGTCCTCATAATCACCTGCATTCTGCCAGTTGCTAGGGTCTCTCTGATAGAGGGTGTGACACACATCTTTGAAGTACTATTGGACTGTGAGATGAACCTTTCTCATCCCTAAGGACTGCTTGAAAACCACACTTTCACTTGAAATTCAGAATCCCACCATATAAGATCCATTCCCTTGGGTTCTTTTAAATGCAGATTATATTGAAATGACTCACAATTAGCTCTATAAACCTTGTTATGACTGAATCAGCCACCCCCTCTCTTCCTATGTTGAAGTCCTAATCCCCAGTTCTTCAGAATGTGGCTTTATTTGGAAATAGGATCTTTATAGAAGTGATTATGTTAAAATGAGGTCATTAGTGTGGATCCTAATCCAATATTACTGATGTCCTTCTAAGAAGAGGAAATTTGCACACAGATATGTACAGACAGGAGATGATGGCCTTGTATTATGGTCCTCCTGAGAAACGGAAGCAATAAGAAATAGATAAATGAGATTTATTATGAGAATTGGCTCATGAAATCATGGAGGCTGAAAGGCTTCACAAGCTCCTGTCTATAAACTGGAGTTCAGGAAAGGGGCCATGTGAATTCATTCTAGCCCAAGTCCACAGGCCTGAGAACCAGGAGTACCTGTGGTGCAAGCCCCAGTCCAAGGCAGGAGAGGACCCATGAATCAGCTCAGCAAGGCAGGCTGAGAGCCAATTTAGCCTTCCCCCTGATTCAAGGCCTCAGTGGATTGGATGAGACCCACCCACACTGGGGAGGGCCGTTGCGTTTTCCAAGTACATGAATTCCAATGCTAAACTCTTCTAGAAACATCCTGAAAGATACATCCAGAAATAATGTTTACCTGGATCCTGGGCATCCCATGGCCCAGTTAAGTTGACACAAAATTGACCATCGCAGGCCTGGAGCAGATCCTTCTCTCACCAACCTCTGAAGGAACCAACTGCATTGTCTTAGTTACTTTTCTCATTATTGGGAAAAACTACCTGACACAAGTTAAAGGAGGAAAGGTTTGTTTCAGCTCACATTTTGTTGAAGTTTTTCATTGATAGTTGGCTGGTTCCAAGGCAAGGTGGCATGGCAGAGGGGCATCACAGAGGAGAAACAGTTCCTGCCGTGGCAGGCAGAAAGCAGCATCAACCCTGGCTTCCCTCTCTCCCTTCATATTCCATACAGGCTGTAAGCCTGTTGATTGGTGCTACCCATGCCCATGGGCTTCCATTATCTACCCCCTTAATCCCAGCCCCACATGCTTAGTCCCAGCATCACACACTATAATCCAGCCACCTTTGAAACTCCCCACCTATGCCTGCTTGAAGATTTGGGGGGACATCTAGATCCAAGCCATGACACCCACCAACATGTTGGTCTCCATGTCCAGCCTCCAGAACTGAGAATATAAATGTCTATTGCTCAAGCAACCCAGTCTACGGTACTTTGTTATAGTAGCAGCAGAAAATGAATTTGACCTATGTTATTCACACATACAGATGGATAGAATGGATTGGAGAGTGACAAAAAGACTGGAAGGCCAGGATGTATGCTTTGGCCTCTCCAGTTTTGGGACAACCACAACAGAACACTTGTGGTAGTTGGAGGCAGGGTCGCATTATGGAAAGAGAAAGGCCTGCCTTTGAACTCTAGCTCTGCTGCTCCCCCTAGCTGTGTAATCAAGGGAAAGTTATTCCAACCTGTCTGATACTCAGGACCCTGGTTTGTGAATGGAGATAATGACTTAGCTACCTCCCTATATGGCAGCTCTGATGTGAAAATAAGATGGTGTGTTAAGCCCACACTCTTCCATAAAGGAACTAAGCCAATGGTAACCATCACTGTTACAAGGGGTGGATGCATCATGGAGAGAAGAATGTACTCCACACTTTTGTGTTTTTTGGGGGGGTACCAGGGATCGAACTCGGGACCTTGTGCTTGTGAAGCAGGCAGAGGAACCACTGAGCTAAATCCCCAGCCCTGCCCTTTGTGCTTCTAGCAGTTCTTTAACTGAACCATAACTTTCCTCTCCCAGCACTGCAGTAGAGACAGTGTGAGATATCTATCCTGCCTCATGCATGGGGTAGGCTTGTCAGATACATACAGAGTGCCCAGTTAAGTTTGACTTTTAGATAAATAATTTTTAGTATAAATATGTTTTTGAAATTGCACAGGACACTTTTCTAAATTTTTTTCATTGTTTATCTGAAATTCAGTTTTAACTGGGAACCCTGTATTTATTACTTGTCAAATCTGGTAGTCATATCTAGGAGAAACCTACTCAAAGAAAACAATTTTGTATGATTAAATAATCTTCTGCTATTAAAAACCAAGTACTGAAATGTACAGCAAGTGCCAAGGGTAGTTGTATCAGCTGTATATCAAATAACCATAAAATCTCAATGGGATACAATAATAAACATTTCTATAGTTCAGAAATCTCAAGGTTGGCTGATCAAGGTGGGACTCAGCTGGGTGGGGCTCGACTGAGGCAGTTTTGTCCCTTGTGTCACTTGTCGTCTTTGGGGGAACAGTGGGCAAGCCTGGGCATGATCTTTCCATGGCATGGGATGAAGCAGAAGAGGCGTGGGATGGGCACACCATCACTTCCACCTTATACTGTTGGCCCAAACCAGTCATATAGCCAAACCCAAAGTTAAAAGATGGGGAGATATACTCTGTTCCTTTAGTTGGGGGAACTGCAAAGACATAGGATAGAAGGTGCAGATACAAGGGACAGATCTGGGGCCAGTTAGACAAAGTAGCAAAGAAGGCAAGAAGTGAGTGATAATGTGGCTGGAAGAGCTGGGTGGGTGGGTTTGTTGGAAGAGGTGACACGAAGTGTAGATGGGATTTGAACAAGAGGGAAGGATCAGCTTGGGCAAAGTCTCGACTTCTAATCATTATCCATTTTTTTTCCATTCCTGCTGTCTGCCCTCCACCCTGCCCTTTCCCTAGGAGGCTATATAAATTCAGTAAGCAAAGAGAAAGAGTCTAAGATTCTCGTTCCCCTCTCCCAAGATAGCACAATCACAAACCTGTCCTCTGGGAGCTCCTCAGGGAGTTGGGAGCTTGGTCTTATGAACCTCAGTTGGTTTACCCTTGTGACAGTGTGAATAGAGCCTTCTCCCCCTCCACTGAGCTCAGAGAAGGGACAGGGAGTGATGGAGATGAGATTCATGGGTGCCTGGCAGCAGTGACATGGGATGAGTCAGCCCTGTAGGAGCTGTGCTGGATTCTGGGAAATTCCAGGGACCAGGAGCCAGGGCTGGTGCCCCTTCCCAGGTACTTTGTCACTGCCGTGATGTAGCCAATTTGGGGCTTCTGGTTCTGTGTCTTCTCACTCCTCGGAGAGATCTCTCCCTTTGTAGCTGAGGTGTTTGAGGTTTCCACCTTCTCCAGTTTTAGCTTACTTGTAACCCCAGCTTTGAGGGGTCCCTGTAGCCCTGGCCACGACCATGTGGCTCTCTCCATGCCTTTGTGTTTGTCCTAACAGAGTCATTTATGTTATTCCAGTGTCTCCAAGGGTGAGATGAGAATGATCCAGCAGAGTCCCCTTTCCAGCCACTGGGCAGCCTATGGAAGGCACCCAGCCCAGCTCTGGCTGTGGTGGAGAAGGAGGGGGCAGGCAGGGCCATGTGGCACAGTGCGCAGCAGCCTCAGTGGTCCATGGTAGGAGTTGCAGGTGGGCCAGCTTCCCTTAGAGGGGCAGTGGGGGGGCCAGGGCAGCAGCCACCACATGGAAGACTGAAGGGCACAGTTGTAGGGCAAGGTATCCATTAGAGGCTTGGCTGTAACAGTGGGAGTCTTGTTTATTAGTAAAACACTTGTGAGCTTTCCTGTGCTCATTTGATTTCTCATTTGATTCTCAGAAGTCCATGTGAGGCAAACAATTACTGCTGCTTGATAAGCAGGGACTTGAGTCACACACAGAGAAGAGATGATTTGTGTCTGGGTGCAAAGGGTTTCCTTCTCCTGCCCCTGTGGGGTTTTTTGGGTTTAGTTTAATTTTGTTTTTCTTTTTGTTTTTTTAATACAGGGGCTCAAATCCAGGGCCTTTGCACTGAGCTACAACCACAGTTTTGTTTTTTCCTTTAGCCAGGTCTTCCTGTCACTGGATTGCCCAGGTTGAGCTTGAACTTGCAGTCCTCTTGTCTTGGCCTCCCAGAGCGCTGGAATTACAGGCATGTGCCACCATGCCCTGCTCCGCCCCTGTGCTTTCATACTACACCTCAAGGATGGTCTCTGGGGCTCCAGTTCTAAGAGCTGAGTGGGTTTTCTTCCTCATAAGAAAAGAAATGATATGCATGTAAAAGTTTATTACAGAATCGTTTATGCTCATGAGAGATGGGAAACAAATTCCAGCAGAGGGGAGCTGGTTAATGATTGGTGCTAAGTCTACGTCAAGAATACTAAACAAATGTTAAAAAGGATGAGACTAAAGGAAAAAAATAAAGTAGCTCCATAAGTGCTAGTATCTTGCGCTCAAAGATATATTATTACTTGGAAAAGCAAAATGGTCCTACTATATGTATTAGAATATACTCGCTTGTACGTAGGATATGTCTGGAGAGACACATAAGTAACTAGTTTGTGATGGCTGTCTCTGAGGTGAGGGATTGGGTATGGGATGGGAGGGGGACTTCTGAGCCATGACTGAAATATATGATGAATGTTTAAATTAAAGAAATAATTGCAGTAAAAGACACATTGCTATTGATTCCCCTCAAAGTACTCCCCCTGCTTCAAACACATCCCATCATTCTTGCCACTTTATGAAGCAGTTCTGGAAGTCTTTTTTCATGAGTGTCCTTATGAGGTGTGATAAAAAAAATACAGTGAATGCTGCTGCTAAGTACCATTCAACAGAAAGGCTCATAAATGCACTGCAGTGTGTCCTCCTCCTTACTCACTGGACCTGGCACTGTGGCTTCTGGCTCTTTCTCAAAGTCAAAATGACTGTGAAAGGTAAATGTTTTGAAAACAGAAC